AGGAAGTAACTCAGAGTGCTCCAGAGGCATTTTGTTTTTACCATTTGACAGAGGCAATCAAAATCCAACAAAAAGCTAATACACTTTAAAAACATGTAGTTTTGAGTCTTGTTATGTAGCCCATGAAGGAACGGACTCTTGCCAGCCCAAGCACAGCAAACAAGCCTCTGGCAGGCCTTGCCCTTCTTCTCCACTCCCTCTGCCTTGCTAAAACCAGTTAGACTACATTTCCAAAGATAGCCACCAAGGTCTATTCCCTTATTTGACCACTTCCTCCTGAGGCCCAGCTATTAAAGTACTGAAGTCCAGCCCCCTTTGGCTCACCTAATTAATATGCCCAATTAAACACCTCATCCTAATTCAGAGTTTCCCCTTTTACCTTTAGTACACCGCCATTTTCCTATGGGGCACATCCGTCTCCTCTCTCTCCAGAGGCAGTCCTTTGTCCCCCTCTCGGACAAATATTCCTGCTTCCTCTCCCTTGTTCCTGTCCCCTTTCCCTCTATCTCCTTTCTTTGTCTCTTATTCGCTACCCTTTGTCCCTCTGGGGCAAATAAACCTTTGTGCTGAGAACTTGGTCTTGGAATTCTGAGCCAACACCAATACTGTCAGCTCAGGCTATCATCCATAAACTCAGGATCCTCTGCCTTCAGTATCCTGAGTGCTGGGATTATAGGTGTATACCACCACATATGGCTCAGTTTTTAAAATAGCTATTATTTTTTAATTTTTATGTGTATGAGTGTTTTGCATGCATGTATATCTGTGTGTGAACCATGTGCATGCCTGGTGTTCATGGAGGTCAGGAGTGAGATCCCTGATACTGAAGTTACAGATGATTGGACGGTAGGCACTTATGTGGGTGCTGGGACCACAGCAGCAAGAGCAGCAAGTGATCTTAACCACTGACCCATCTTCCCAGTCCCATCCATCCAATCCTCTACACCCGCCTTTAAAGGACAAGGTCTCGCTATAAAGTCCAGGCTCCCTCAAACTTGCTGTAGTCTTTAGGCCTTGGCCTCCTGAGTGTCGGGATGATAGATAAAGGGTCCAGGAATAAGAATATAAAAATGTAGATTTCAGAAATAGGAATGTAGAAATAAAGAAATATAAAGTTGTAAGCATAGGAGAATGAGAACAGACTCTCAGCAGCTTTCTCAGCGGCTTAAGGATGAATTATTAACAGTGGGCTACTCCGCTTTACAACCCATAGCTCTATTCATGAGGCCAAAGCATCTCTCTGCAAGCTGAGAGCTAGCCTATGGACATGAGCTGAGTCAACTTTTAGGTAACAGATATAGAACCTCCAGGTTACACATTATCCCTGCTCTGTGAAACTGGCAGCATCAAAGGGGAGAGCACAGGGCTTCAGCAAACACTACCTGGAAGGACCAAGGTAGGCAACAGATTAAGTACAAACACTAGTTTAACTGAAAAACTCTGTTAACGGAGATTGTTAAGTAAGGCAATCTGTATCTGAGTTTTACCTCAAGATTGTAAAAATTCCTTTGTTCAGACCTAATGCCTGGTGCCCCTAGTATAAAAGCTGGGTTCAGAAACCGGCCTTTGCCACAGCCTTACAGAATCCATCTCTGGCTGTGATCTCAGCTAGCTGATAAGCTTTTTGTGCCCCATGGAGATATTTTTTATTTTTTCCTGGATTTTGGAATAAAGCTTGCTTCTGGTTTATTAAACTTTGGTGGTCTGTCCCATCTTTGCGTGACCCCCCTGGACCCAACAATGGGTGTGAGCCACCACATCTGGCTTCCTTCCTTCCTTCATGGTTCACAAGACTCTGCTATTCACATTTACAGCGACATGTTGGCATTGGCCTCCCCAAACCTCATACTGGCCAAGCTGAATAGGTTATCTGGAAAGTCTGTAAGAACCAGAATTAGATGAAGACCTCAGTCTTGGGGATCAGTAACCTTCCTGGGCCTCTATGGAAAATGTGAGCTTCTATTTATTGCTCAGAAGTTTCCTCCAAGGTTAAAGCCTTCCATCATACTGGGAACTTTAGACACAGGATTTAAAAGTAAAACAGGATCTTATAGGGAAGGATGTTTACAACGTGAAAATCACAGAATGTTCTAAGGGGAGGTGCCCCGCTCTATCCTGGAGGAACCAGAAGAAAACGTCTCAAAATTGCTCCAGGAAGTCTCTGAAACTGACCAAATTAGCTAGAACCCTCCTCCCCCAAGAGTATTTAAACAGCAAAGACTGCTCTCAGATCAGCTTGGCTTCCAGGAAGAAGCAAAGACAGAGGAGAGCAGCTAAGCTGCCTGGGAAAAGTTTAGCCCAACAGAACCACTAAGAACACACCCAACCTGTTGAGCTGCTGTAGGTTGTTAACGTGTTCCAGGTTTCCAGCTGTTATAAACTGTCACCTGTGTTGGCTCTTCTAAGTAACCCCAGGAAAATGCACTGGTTCACCAAGTTGGACTCTGGTGACACCTATAATTTGTTCTACCCTTGGTTCCCTATCTGGGGCAAGCAGATGTTTGTAAATGTCTCCCCAGGAAAAGCGTGCTTCTGAAGCGCAATGCCTTTGATAACTCCATCAAAATACCACCTGTTTTCACCTACCTATTTCACGTTACAGTGGTCACATTTGATCTTCACAAAGCCACATCTGACTCCATGATGCCGCACAAGGACAGATAAAGTACACAGGAAAGCACTAGGAAAACCAAGGTTGAGACACCCTGAGCCTGCATCCATGTAGCAACTGAGGGCCTTTGAAGGGACAGACACCATCTCCCTAAAGGAACTGTCTGTGCTGAAGCTTCAGTCTCAAATAACAGGAATCTCACATCCTGTCCCACTGATCTCACCTGGAAGGTGGATGGCACCAACCAACTTGGAGCTGAAGATGTGTTTGCTACTACGGTGGTTTGAATGAGAACGGAGTCCCATAGACTCATATATTTGAATGCTTGCTCTGTAGTTGGTAGTGCTGTTGGGAAAAATGAGGAGTTGTGGCCTTGTTGGAGGAGGTGTGTCACTAGGGGTGGGCTCTCAGGTTTCAAAAGTCCACGCCATTTCCAGTTAGTTCCCTCTCTGCCTCCTGGCTGTTATCATGTAAGCTCTCAGTTACTGCTTCAGCACAATGCCTGCCTTTTGCCATGCCCACATTATGATAATCATGGCCTCTACTACCTTCTGGAGCCATGAAGCCCAGATTAAATGCTTCCCTTCCTCCCCATGCTGCCTTGGTCATGGTGTTTTGTCATGGTAACAGAAAAGAAACTAAGACAGTTACTCCCTATTTGCCTATAATGTAACTATATCCTCACATCTCTGAGATGTGTAATGACTTGCCAAAAACAAGAAAAAGAAACTTAAATCAGGAAGGAGGTGGCTCAGTGGACTAGCACACTTGTGCAAGCATTGAGGACCTAAATTCAAATCTCCAGGACCAATATAAGAGGCCAGATGTGAGCCAGCCGAGGTAGCACACGCCTTTAATCCCAGTACTCGGGAGGCAGAGGCAGGGGAATATCTGTGAGTTCAAGGTCAGCCTGGTCTACAAGAGCTAGTTACAGGACAGCTAGGGCTGTTACACAGAGAAACCCTCTCAACAAACAAATACATAAAAATAAGTAAAAAATAAACCAAGCCAAACAAAAACAAAACAAAGAAAGGAATCCAGATGTGATTGTACATGCCTGTAAGTCCAGTAAGGAGGGGGAAGACAGGAGGATCATAAGAGCTTGTTGGTCGCTGCCTAGCTCGATTCAGTGACAGACTTATCTCAAGGGTAAGGTGGAAAATGGTGGAGGACATTTAAATTTAACATTTTCCCCTGGCGCATATACAGCACACAGAAACTAATTTTGGTCACTAACTTCTTGCCTTCCAACTTTAGTTTTCTCAGGTTTGCAAGACTTCTATAAACTAAGTCTGACCAGTGCTTTTTCCCTTTTGTGGGGGAGTAAACTGTTTAAGATAAAAAGCTATCATTTCTTCAGCCTACTGATGGGTACCAGCAGGCCCCTTTCCAGCCATCATTGTTGTCATACACAGCTTCAGACCCAAACCCCTCCTCTTCGACAAATCACGGTATTTCATATGCTTGCCGAATTCTGGGACTACATGCTGGGTCAATCTAAATGAAGTTCTGGATCCAGAGTAACATTTTAGAAGTGATATATGGAACAGAGTAACATTTTAGAAGTGATATATGGAACAGAGGAAGGGCTGTGAACCCAGGAGCACAGACAGATGGACAGACTGCACACTCGTGTTCTTGTGTTACTGTGATACAGTGAGCATGTGCTCCTGAGCAAAGGTGAGGCATGTCTCAATGGTGAACATCTACAGCAGTTCTCAACACCACAGAAGCCCCTGGACACCCATGAGGTCTGATCCCCTGCGGACACCAGAATCTAAGGGTGCTCAATTCTCTTTTACAAAATTATTTTTATTTTGTGTGCATTGGTGTTTTGCCTGTACATGTGTCTGTGTCAGATCCCCTAGCACTAGAGATACAAACAGGTATGAGTTGCCATGTGGGTGCTGGGAATCGAACCCTGGTCCTCTGCTCTTAACCTCTGAGCCATTTCTCCAGCCCCCAGCCAATGTTTTTTTTGTTTTTTGTTTTTTTAATAGCACACCCTCTTGAATTCTCGAAATCAATTTAGGTGATTTGTGTCAATTATACACTGTGGCCAGGCATGGTGGCCCACACCTTTAATCCCAGCACTCAGGAGGCAGAGAAGCAGGTGGACCTCTGTGAGTCCAGTCTACATAGAGAATTCCAGGGCAGCATGGACTACACAGAGAGACTCTGTCTCAAAAACCCCACAAGTCAAAACCAACTCAAATCAGTTAGGGAATAAGAAAAAAAGGAAAAAAATTTTGTGTATTTTTATGACTATTTCATCCCTGGATGACTGAGCCTACAGATGGAGAAGGCTGATCATACTCCGTAACGCATTATCTGCTGTGCACACGCATAAGTACTTCAGGTGAAACATTTCCAGTCCAGGAGATTTTAGTTAAGTTTTTCTTCTGCTTTTATTACAAGCATATAATATTAATTGGCAAAACACTGAATACAAGCTTCACTATCGTGAAATCAAAACATTAAGCAATATTCCAAAAAAGATTTCAGACAAAAACTAGCCACTTGATGGTACAAAAATTACACACTAACACAATCATAAAAATGTAAACTTTCAAATTAAACAGTCAAAAATATGAATCTGCATCATTTCATACACCATGACAGTTGTTAGCTGTGGCTGCATTCCAAGGTGGGCGCACATGGTGCTGCTGTCTGTGACCTGATGTGACCTTCACTTGGGGAAAATGTCTGGTACAAGCTGAGAACCGGAACTAACACATGCTACTGTGGTACACACATCAGTTCTTTCTCCAAATGTGCTCTCGGGTGGGAGTAAGGGACAACAGGTGTGAACACTGGGCGTGAGGACCACAGTCCCACACAGCTGTTTCTGATGGGAGCCTGAATGGTAGTAATTCCTACCTGGAGGAATGAAGATGTGCAGACTGTGGTACAATTAAGTGGATTTCCTAATCTATGTATCCCAGTTTATTTACTTGGTGTATTTAATACCAAGGCAGAGAAAACTTTTGTTTTCAGGTTAAGGTCACATGTGATGTGTTGGGGTTTAAATGATTTCCTGAGGAAACAGACATATTGTGTGTGTGGTGGTGGTGTGTGTATGGTGTGTGTGAGAGAGAGAGATTGAGATTTCGCTATCTGCACTAAATTTACTTTCAGTGTTTTAGAAGCATATTCAATATCCATATACAAAGCAGAACTCAGTTGGCTCATTCGTGGAACATTTAAGCTAACGATACACTTCAGAGCACTGTGATACACCACCCTGTATGCCCTCAGAAACAAAATACACCAGGCTCCAAAGATTCTGATGGCAGGGCAGGCATCAGGGGCCTAAAGGTCAGCACTGCCAGGTTGATAGGTGGGGAGACGATGAAATCCCAACCCCCAGGATGGCCCAGTCACAGCCTCAGCTCAAGGACTGGGTTTGCCCACAGGAGACACAAGCCTAGCATGGTGCCAACCTCATCACTTCCTGCCTGGCTGCTTATCTTTTAATATTGATGGAACATATCTACACATACACACACACACACACACACACACACTCTCTCTCTCTCTCTCTCTCTCTCTCTCTCTCTCTCTCTAACAGCATTCTTATAATAACAGTGAAAAAGGCAAAACCAAATAGCTGAATGCACAGATATCGAAATTCCACCTATATTCCCTTTCAATTTAGTAGAATCGATGCTAGATCACAATTTAAACACACTCTAATAAATGCATGTTGGAACCTATTGCACAAAAGCATAAAAATGCTCTTCATCCCTATAAAAACATACAAACCAAAGGCTACAAAAAGTAAAAGAAGCTTGCAAAACATCTCACAATTTTATCTTATATGCCTGTAAATAAAGCTGGACCACAGAAACCAAACAACTGGATGGGAAAATATGATAGAAGGCTTAAAATAGAATAAATAATTTTATAAAGTTAAGTTTTCTTTTTTTAACCCCCCAAATCTTAAATTCAATATTATATATTCTATCTGAGATTTCTATTTTCGTGAAAATGGTACTGAGCGAGACCACGTGCTGGGAGGCTGGTCCCGGGGCTGCCGGTTGGATGCATCGGGTTTTTAGCATCGGCAGCTATGAAAACAACTTCACAGGAGCTCCGCCTGCTGAGAAAGCTGGACAGGACCAATCACTAACTGATCCTCGTGTTCATGCTGGAAAAATAAAATTCGGCCTTGGATGTCACATGGAGCTTGGCAGGAGTGAAACGAGGCGCCCAGAGCTTCCATCTGACGCAAGCTCACTCTGCTTCATCTAGGAGCGAGGTAAGGCTACAGGTCAGACCAGAGGGCGGAAGGGCATCGGAAAGCTGCCTGCAGAGCAGACAGGCGCATGATGGAATCTTAGAAAAATAGGTATTTTTGCTGCTGAGGTTGATCAGGTTAACGTGGTGACAAAAGCAGGGCTGTTGGGGCGGCGGCGCCCAGCTAGGACATCAGTTGCGATGTCCGCCTCGCTGAATACTTAGAGCTATCAACTTAGCACCATAGCAAAGTCAGTGATTCTAAAAGTAGCTACAAAGTTACAAATATAGATCATGAGATTATACAGCCATACTAAGTTTGATCTGAACTGTAAATTAACTTTAATTTGGAGGCCTCTAACTGTCTAAGTCTTCTTTAGTTTCACCACATGGGAAATACCTAGATTCTAATGTAACTGCATGGTGAGAACACGGTCTTGCGGATGCTTCAGCAGCACTTGTGTTCTGAGGTAGACAGGTAATATTTACGCATGAACCCTTGTGTAGTAACTCTAGAAATGATTTGGATGAACAGCAAACTCAGGAAACTGACAATCCAAACAGTCCTGGTCTCAAATAGAGAGGTGAATTTTGATCAATTCCAAACAAAGAGCTTGCTTTTGTTTTACAAGGTCATACATTAAGGATTCCGTTAATTTGGATGTTCTATCCTTAGGGACATTAGGGCTCACGAGTCGCTGCTTCTGACGCTGTGTGAGTGAAAGAGGAAGTAGAAGAGTGGGCACTGATAAACCCAATCCCAACCGTCAAAGCAATGCAAGAAAAATTCCAGTTGCTAAGGTGAAGACACAGAAAGCCTGGCCCCAAGGACACACTAAGATCCTCCTCTGCCCACCAAGAGCAGAGCTAACCCTGGGATTACAGGGTTCTACGATTCCCACGGGGCCTGGGAGGGCAGGAAGTGACTGAGAGAGGTCCCTGGGAACCCCAGGCCATTATCCCTTCTCCTTGCTCTTGCCTTCATACCCCTTAAGAGAGAACAAAGTTGGATATGCTGGCATTTATCTCTAACCAAACCAAACCAAATAAATTACACGTGAAGTGGGAAGTTCACAAACAGTATCCTGAAAAATGTCTGCTGAGCAGGTTGCTCAGTTACTTTTCATGAAAAAGGGGAAAAAAAAAAAAAAAAAAAAAAAAAAAAAAAGATGTTAACCCCGTGAGCAGAAAGGCAAGCCAGGAACACGGAGGTTAGAGGTCACCTCCCAAGTGCCTTTACAAGGTCTCCCCACAGGAGGGCTTGTGCTGTTTGGAAAGACAGCCTCACCTCCCAAGTGCCTTTACAAGGTCTCCCCACAGGAGGGCTTGTGCTGTTTGGAAAGACAAACAGCCACCACCACATCTTGCCAGTGGAAGGAAAACAGAAAGCTAAAGGCAGGAACTTTCGGGATGACTTCAGCAAGCCAGCGCTGCACCAGCCATTTCACCCCTGACTTGCCTTACGGAGGGGACGAAACTGCAGCCACAAGACGCTGGGGACTGAGGCAGGGTCTCCCCTTGCCCAGCCAGGATACACAGTACAAGACTCTAATTTGGGAATGGACCTCTGCTGTACTCTAGAAGGTGGGAAATTAAATAGCATGGCTAAATAATAGTATTACTGCAAGCCTCTTTGGGTATACTTTAAATTAAATTTTTATATATCTCTTCAGTCTTCAGGAAGCTAAAGGCAACATAAATATATACCATGAAAAGACTTTCAATAACTTAGGAAGGACTTAATGAAAGCCCAAGTGTTTCTGAGGCTTATTAATAATGAAACCTAATCCACAAATTAAGCCAAAAGGAATTCAGATTCTCAAGCCCTGGAAAGCAAGCAGAGGCGCTGCGTGTGGTCACGGATTCACTTGTTCTCTGGCCTGTGGACCTGAAGCAGAGAGGAGCGAACTGTGAAGTGTTTTCATCCTCTGTAAACACGTGCTGGTAGTGTCTTGTTGGGAGTGGATTCTCTCATACAAAAGTTATAAATATTCTCTATTCAGAAATCTGGTCCACATGGCACCCAGAGGCAACATTCCACGGCACATTTTGCCGTGTAGAGCACTGGGTGTGGGCTGAGTCTGGCTGGGCTTACAGCAAGTCCATCTTGGGTCTGTAGTGTAGCAGGAGGGGCGCCTTCTGTAAGACAAAAGAAAGGTGGCTGAGGGAAGTAGGAGGGGCCCACACACTGCACAAGCAACGCCACAGCTGAGTCCAGTTCTGGGGACAAGGAGTAATTGTCATTGGCCTCAGGTGACCCAGTGGTAACCTGGGTGGTGTTTGGGGCTCACGGCAGGGCCTGTGCAGCCAGAACTTCAGCTTATTCCTCCTGCCTACCACACTAGCTCTGGTCTTTCCTGTGCAGTTTCTTATACTTCCCAACCCTTGCCCTGGTCAGCTACTGGTCCTCCTGGTCTTTGGCTGGCCCAGTTGTCTGCATCCCCTTCTTCCTGGGCAGTACCATGACTAGAGGTGGAAGAGCTGCATTCCAGTCCTAGGCAGGGACCATAATACCAGTTCCTGATTCAGAAAGGTACCCAAGAGTTTGAGAGTTTGCTCCACTGGGGACTCAGGGGACTGAGTGGGGTGGTGAGCAAACACCCTGGCTGGGTAGATGGTTCCAGAAAGACAGCTGCTCACAGAGTGTCTGCAATAGAAGACACGCACAGCAAGTAAGGACCAAGAGTATGTCTCAAACCAGGCATCGGAAGAACCACCCGGTCTCACCTTGAATCTCCACCGCGTAACAACCACGAACTTGAGAGTGTGGTCCTTGCCCAGGATCTCCTCGTTGCATAAAATGTCCAGCTGGTGGGAGAAGGGGCTTCGGTTAGGCACATATTCAACCTACCTTTGAATGAGTGAGGCCAACAGTGATAATATGAACAAAACTCTCACGTGTTCCTAAACAAGCCCCTCCCCAGCCATGTGGGAAGGTGGCTTGTCTGCTTACTCACTTACCTGCATCATCCAATATAGAAGCAAACACGAGTTATAACAGAAAAGGAACATTTCTGTTAAGACCAAAACTTCTTCAGGGGTCAAAGATATAGTGGTGTACTCCACGGCTGTGTTGCAGTGGTCCCAAGAGGCTTAGCCTGATTGCTCTGAGCATCAATGATCCTGGCTTGTCCCTACCCCAGTTCTGGGCTTCTCTAATGAAGTCCTGGAAGCGTCACAGGTGGACCCACTGCTGGATCCCACGTATTGCACCTCAATTCATTGTCCTCCCCCTAACTGGTAGTGAAATGTAAATTCCTGTGTTCACCCAATGACCCTTGAAGGGCCCAGTCACCAGCAATGGTTCAGTAAGCTACAGCAGGGACTCCAGGTTACCCAGACAGCAAGGTGGGAAGTTACACGACAATTCCTCTTAACATGCAGAACACAGGGCCTGGTCCATACGGAGTACATAGGACCTTATGCACACAGAACACACAGGGCCTTCTTCACACACAGTTTTCACCATGGCTTGGACTCTTTCTTACTTATTTAATAGACTTTACTACTTAGAGCAGCTTCAGGCTCCCTTGCCTCATCTTATATACATGTTCCCATTAGACTAAATTACTATGGCATGGGTTATGTACCTTGTCCTTCAGTCTGCGAGGAGGTGTACCTGACAGCACCGGCCCCCACTGCTCCAGGCCCTTACATATCTGCAGATGGTGCCTGAGGAGGGGCTTGGTGACGTCTCACTGTCTGCTTTTTAATTTTTATTTCCCTACATGTGTGAAACGATGACCCAGATGGTATTGTTATCTCCCTAGGCAGGGGAGAAAGGCTATTCTCACAGGCCATAAGGAGTATGTTTCTTGTAAACAGTGATGAGTGGAAAACCAGGCTTCGCGTCCATGAGAGCTCACCTGACTGCTGTCATCTTTACTAAGTGGTATGTACATTTCACAAGGTGCATATAAACCACTGTCCCAGCAAGGCATGATGCCCTCATCCAGTTCCTATGACTCCCCTCCTCATCCAATGTCTAGGACAGTGCTCCCTATACTTCACACAGCATTGGGGACTGCAGGGCTCTGAGAACAGTGTCACATCCACCTGGGATACTCAGGAGCTGACAGCGGTCTTCATGGAGAAATATCCCTGCACATGACAGGCAGTCTCCCCTTGAACTGCCTGATGTCCCTGGTTCTGTACAGTGTATAGAAGCCACTTAAAGTCAAGATGAACATCTCTACCTTCATAGGATCCAAGGCTCCCCTCTACCTATTTCCCAAATAAACCTAATCTAGACTTGCTTTTTCCTGTGGGCTCCTGGTAGTGAGTGTCAAGTTAGGTTCTCATTCTGTGTCTGCCACCTTCTCCCCAACCACTTGTATGGTTGGCTCAGAGCTGCGTGATGGGTTCCTGGGTTTGATGAACAGTTCTGAAACACCACTGTGACAACTGCCAGGAATGTTCAGTGTGGCTATAATTAAACAGCAGACTGGGCAACCGATAAACAGTTAAAATAGTAACATAACAAAATATTAGCATTTTTAATATAACACAGTTAGCAGTTAATATAACTGGTTAACAGTTAGTATGTGCTAGAGGCTGGAATTCTGCTCATAATGTAGGCACTTGCTGTCACTGCAGGCTGTAATAAAGCAAAAAAAAAAAAAAAAAAGATTTCCCAGGTACCAGGTCACGATTTAAACACCTCATGATTTAAATGCCCTGCCTCCCAGCACCATGGGGCTGAAACAGAGTTTTCAGCACATGGATTGAAGAAGACCCTCTTGCCCCATGGCTTCTAGGGCCTTGTGGCCAGGTCATTTCAGTCACTGCCTGTCATCTCCCATTCCCCTGACCTATGTCGAAAATCTTCTACTTCATACTAATGAGGATGCTTGTCACTGGGTTTAGGCTTAGCAGATAATCTGAGATGTTTCATTTCAAAATCCTTAAGATGTTACATCTGTCAAGACCTTCTTCCAGTGGGGTCTCACCCACAGCTCCTGCTGGGATACTGGTCCAGTGGCTAGCACAGCTCTATATACGACTCTCCAAACTATTCTCAATCACACTCACATGTACATGCGGCAACACGCTGGACCTTCTGTCTTGACCGGGTCCTATGTGCCTTCTAAGTCCTTTTCCACACAGCCTCAGAATTCTTCTCAGGCAACACTGAATCACTGACCCTTCCTTAACACAGTAGGGCCAGCTCCTGGGGTTCTTGCCTGACTGCTCCTCAAGCCTGTTTCTGAGCACAACTGTCACGAGCCCCACAAGCTCTGGGTCTCTGGATCTACTTTGTTATCACATCATATCCACCTACCACCCACTCATTCATTAAATTAAAAAACAAAGTTCTGGGACCACAGAGATGGCTCAGTAGTTAAGGCTCTGAGTCCAGATCCTAGCACCAACATTAAAAATCTGGGCATGAGCCAGGCAGTGTTGGTACATGCCTTTAATCCCAGCACTTGGGAGGCAGAAGTAGGCGGATCTCTGTGAGCTCAAAGTCAGCCTGGTCTACAGAGAGTTCTAGGACATCAGAACTGCTGCAGAGAAACCCTGTCTCAAAAAACAGAACAAAACAAAAACAAACCAACAAAAAAATCTGGGCATGATTATGCATGACTCTGTAACCCCACTGTTACGGAAGAACAGAGCTAGAAGGATTATGAGATGGGGCTGCCAGCCAGGCTCCAGATTCAGTGAGAGGCAGAGAGTGAAAGAACAGGACACAACATCCTCCTCTGGGTTCAGCTCACAGACACCTCTGCTCCCACACACACAGACACAAAACCCAGAGTTCTTTCTTATGTGTAACTGTAACTTATGCTCAGACAATCTAATCTCTGCTTTTCACTGTTATTTCTTTCCATACTACCTGACGAGATAGAAAACACAAATTAAGATTTGATTTTTTTATTAAATTTTTCAAAGAAGGAGCTAGAAAAATGACTAGCTCAGTGATTAAGAGCGCTCTGCCCACATGGTGGCCAACAAATGTCTGTAACTCCAGCTCCAGGGGAGCTGATGCCCTCTTTTGACCTCTGTGTGCACCGGCATGCACACTGTACATATGCATGCAGGGGAAACATTAAATAAATAAATAAACAAACCTATCTTTTATGAAAAACTAGTTTTTGCTGGGCAGTGGTGGCACATGCTTTTAATTCCGGCACTGGGGAGGGAGGGGGCCCAGAGGCAGGCAGATCTCTCTGAGTCTTAGGTCAGCCTGATCTACAAAGCGAGTTACACAGAGAAACCCTGTCTCAAAAAACCAAAAATAAATAAATAGAATAAAATAAATAAATTAAACAAACAAACAAAAACTGATTTATATATGGGGCCAGCAAAATGGCTCAGTGGGTAATGACACTTTGTTGCCAAGCCTGACAACCTTTGAGTTTAATCCCCAGGATCTCCACAGTGGAGTGAGAGAACTGACTTTTGTAAGCTGTCCTCTGATCTCCGTGCAAGTGCCACTGCACATGTACACACACACACACACACACACACACACACACACACACAAAACCTAATTAAAACGTTCTTAAAAAAAAATCTCCAAATAAGGCTCTTAAAAAGAAGGGATATATATGTCTTTGGCTGTTATTTTAGCAAACAAGACAGGCGAGAAGGACCCATCCCAGCTCTCTGGCTGATGGCTACCTCATTGAAGGAGGAGAGATTGAGTTTCTTGGCGATGAATTTCTTCAGGTGCAGCACTGTTGCTTGGGCTGAGCATCGGATCCACTTCCGCTTCAGGCCCCGCAGTTTGCTGCTGTTGCATTCTAGACAGATGCTCACCTGGAAGAGAAAGGATACGAGGTCAGACTCTTCCTGGACGCACACAGTTCCTATGAGTACTGGCCTGGCCTTTTGAAATCAGGATTTAAAAATCCTGTAGAGGATTTTTACCTGTCATTTTATACTTCCTTTTAAAACCTCCTTAGAGTCTTTGTGATGCTGAAAAACACTCTAGCCTGTCAACTTTAGTTCTCTTAACTTACAGTCACCCTGAGAGTTATGTGTCTGTATTTGCCAAAGGCACTGAGTCCCTTATGTTCTCAAGTGGCTGCCCCTGTCAGGCAAGCCCTATACCGACGAGGTTTGTGAAGGAAACCAGTGTGCTCTTGACATAGAACAGCCACGAGCAAAGCCTGGGCCTGACTCTAAGGAGAGTGCTCTGGGTGTCACTGTTTTCCAGGGTCAGAGCACAGGTGTGGGTGTAAACCTAAAGTGGATCCTAACAGGTCAGGGTACAAGTGGATCAGTTGTTGGCTAACAGGTCAAGGGTACAAGTGGATCAGTTGTTGGATCCTAACAGGTCAAGGGTACAAGTGGATCAGTTGTTGGATCCTAACAGGTCAAGAGATCTGTTGCAGGGAGACAAAGCCTTATCTTGGGGCTGTAGAGAAATCCCTTCCAACATGATTCACTCAAACTTTTGAAAATTCAGGTAAAAGAATTAAAACTTAAATATGTATTATAAGATCATAAGATAGAAAAGGAAGAATTAGGGCTGGAGAGATGGCTCAGAGGTTAAGAGCATTGCCTCTCTTCCTAGAGGTTCTGAGTTCAATCCCCAGCAACCACATGGTGGCTCACAACCATCTGTAATGGGGTCTGGTGCCCTCTTCTGGCCTGCAGGCATACACACAGACAGAATATTGTATACATAATGAATAAATATTAAAAAAAAAAGAATTAAAAACATAAGATACTGAGTAAAGAACATTATACAGGCATAAAAATACAATGTAACTTCTAAAAATAGTAAACACACTGAAGCTAAAATCACTGGATACCTTAAGTGCTCAAGACAAAAAAACTTTCTCAAAGATCATTTGAGGAAATTATTAGTAAGAATTTAAGTTTAAAGGCGAATTCGAACTAAAGTATCAGAATTAAGGAAGCTAACAAGGAAGACAGATGGATGAATCCCAGACTTGCACAAAGGGAGGGACAAGGGAAGCCAGAATTTAAAATTAAGTTCCCTGGAGGATAAAAATCATAAACCTGCAGACGAGGAAAGCAAATTATCAGTTAAAACCAAAGGGGCTGGAAAGATGGCCTTTGGGTAAACTATGTGATGCTCTTCTGGGAGACCCAAGGGTTCAGTTCTCAGAATCTCAGAACCCATGTTGGGCAGCTCACAACCACCTATAACTTGAGCTACAAGGTACCCGATGACTTCTTTTGGTCTCCATGGGGACCTGCACAGGTATAGCATACACACACACACACACACACACACACACACACACATTAAAAAGAAGGCCAGGAGGTTGTGTCGCATGCCTTTAATCCCAGCACTCCTGAGGCAGAGGCAGGAGAATCTCTGTGAGCTCAAGGCCAGCCTGGTCTACAGAGTGAGTTCCAGGACAGTCAGGACTACAAAGAGAAACCTGTTTCAAAAAGCAAAACAAATTTCACGAAATACCTTATTAAAAGATAAAAATAAATGCCACAGACTGAGGTACAGCGTTGCTAAGACACATCTGCTCATCCCAGTACTTGGGGAAGAGGTAGGTGGATCAGGAGTTTAAGGTCAAGTCCCCCCCCTCCCCCAGGCCAGCACGCTCCTTGTGAAGGACGGTCTCCACCCCACCCCACCCTCGCCAGCATGGTCTACATGAAGTCCCCCCCTCAGGCCAGCCAGCACGCTCTATATGAAGACCCCACCACCACCAGCACGCTCTATATGAAGCTCTGCCTCCCACCGCCAGCACCCTCTATATGAAGCCCACCCCACCAGCATGCTCTATATGAAGACGCCCCCCCCCGCCAGCACACTCTATATGAAGCCATCAAAAAAACAAAACAACGACAAAAACAACAACAACGACAAAACAAACTAAACCAAAATGAGAGGAAGTTGGCACTAGTCAAGTGATCAGAAAAGATTATTATTAAATCACACTATAGAGCAAGAATGAAAAGGAGCTCCTTTCAAACAACTATGGAAAAGACTGGTTCAGGAAGACATATGGGAAGAAGACCAAGAGGAATCTTAGGGCCAAGGTGCTGACTTATACCAGCCATGGCTTTTAAAAATGTACATAATCATTTAAGCAATTTGTAGCCAGTAAAGCAAGACAGAACTCCCCCCCCCCCAAGGGTTTCTCTGTAGCTTTGGGGTCTGTCTGGAGCTAGCCTTTGTAAACCAGGCTGGCCTCGAACTCACAGAAATCCCCCTGCTCCATCTCCCGACTGCTGAGATTAAAGGCATGCACCACCACCACCCGGCTTTTAAGACAGAACTGTTAACTTACAAAAACATAGACATGAAAAAAAGATTAAAGAAAACATAATTCTCTGCCATCAACCCTACCTAGTGCCAAAAAGGGAAGAAACAAGAAAAATAAATAACTATGGTAAGTTAAAGCAGAAATCAGCTCAGATGTATCAGTGGCCAAGGGAAATTTGACTAACTTGTCATCTAAATTTTCTAGGGACTGGAGAGATGGCTCAGTGATTAAGAGCATTTGCTGCTTTTGCAGAAGACTCAGGTTTGGCTCCTCACTTACACGACAGTTTATAACTGTCTTGTAACCTGTTCCAAGGACTCTCCAGGCACCAAGCACAAGCAGGGCGCATGAACATCCATATTAAGCAACACACACACACACACACACACACACACACATAATTAATCTTTTTAAAAAAAGAGAAGCCGGGCGGTGGTGGCGCACGCCTTTAATCCCAGCACTTGGGAGGCAGAGGCAGGCGGATCTCTGTGAGTTCGAGACCAGCCTGGTCTACAAGAGCTAGTTCCAGGACAGGCTCCAAAACCACAGAAAAACCCTGTCTCGAAAAACCAAAAAAAAAAAAAAAAAAAAAAAAAAAAGAGAAAAATTCTGGTTTGATTAAATAAAATCTAAGTCAGTATTAGATATTAGAGGAAGATATTTAATAAACTGAAATACCAGATTATTAACCAAAAGAAATCTATCTTAGATTAATAAAGGCAGACTTTAAGAGAAACAATGTCCCTAAGAAAACATTCCCTAAGGGATGTTAACATACATTTATTTATTTATTTATTTATTTATTTATTATGCAGTATTCTCAGTATTCTGTCTGCATGTATGCCTGCAGGCCAGAAGAGGGCACCAGATCTCACTACAGATGGCTGTGAGCCACCCCGTAGTTGCTGGGAATTGAACTTAGGACCTTCGGAAGAACAAGCAGAGCTCTTAACCACTGAGCCATCTCTCCAGCCCCACGTTTATAAATTTATATGCACCATCTGATTAGAGCAGATGCAGAGACCCACAGACAAACATCAGATGGAGCTCAAGGAGCCCTGTGAAAGAAGTGAAGGGGAATCATATGAGCATCAAGGACACCACAAAACAAAACAAAGCAAAACACGGCCCACAGAATCAACTAAACGGGGCTCATAAGGGCTCAGAGACTGAGCCAACGATCAGGGAGCCTGTATGGGTCATATGGTTGTTATGGCTGTGTAGCTTGGTGTGGGGCTCCTAACAGGGAAGCAGGGATGTCTCTGACTCTTGCCTGCTTTGGGACCCTTTTCCTCCTCCTGGGGATCCAGCCTCACATACCTCATATGATCATATCTCACAATATGAGAGAATGGGCCTAACTTATTGTAACTTGAGATGATGCCATGTTTGGTTGATATCCCTGGGAGGCCCGCTGTTTTCTGAAGAGAAACAGAGGAGGAGTGGATCTGGGGGAGAGGAAAGAGGGGGGGAGGGGCTGGGAGGTGTCTTAGGTTTTCTATTCCCGTGAAGAGACACCGTGACCAAGGCAAGTCTTCTAAAGAAAAACATTTAATTGTGGTGGCTCGGTTACAGTTGAGAGGTTTAGTCCACTACCATCGAGACAGAAAGCAAGGCAGCATGCAGGCAGCATGGTGCTAGAGAAGGAGCTGAGAGTTCTACATCTTAACTCACAGGCAGCAGAAGTAGTCTGTCTCACTGGACATGGCTTGAGCATGTGAGACCTCAAAGTCTGCACCCACCGTGACACACTTCCTCCAACAAGAAATGCCTACTAAGAGTGGCACTCCTTTTGGGGTCGTTTTCTTTCAAACAACCACAGGAAGAGAGGGGGAAGAGGACACTGTTGGCTGGGATGTAATATATAAGAGAGGAATTTTTAAAAAAGGAAGCACCTGGTGAACTTTGTGAAGGGACTACAGTGGCCCCACTTGACACCTGCTTAGCTAAATGGTTGCAAGCTGTGGGCTATCGTGTGTTCTCGTCAGAGTCTGCATCTTGTGAGGTCTGTAGGCCCGTGCTTAGCGCTGGCTAGAGGACTCAGGTGTGGTCAGGAAACCCTCAGGTGTATGTGGGGGACGCTGAGACCCTAGGGTGAAGGGCATGCTCTGTTGTAGGTAGCACAGGAATTCCCTTTCTGCATCAGAGACTGTTCAGAGAACCAGGCCACAGGCTTTTACTTCCTGCCTCCCCACTACCCCCTGAACTTGTTCCACATTCTCTGATGCCTTCCCCTCTTGCCAAGTAGCATCTGATCTGGATTTTACATCAGCCGCAAGAAACTCAAAGGCAGAAAGCTGCTTCCCCAAGGGTCAGTGCATGCCATGACTGTCCTCTGGGAAGGTCTAAGTAGAAATTCAAGAATAATTCAGAGTGAGAAGAGACTGAACTGAGGTAGATGAGATTGATACACGGGGGGTGGGGGGGGGGCACAGAAAGGACCTGGTGCGGGTAACAGCATATCTTCCTGAGCCCCATGAGGAGGACAGTTTGTGCAGGGATCAATGTCAGTTGGGGACCCCCAGAGCCCAGAATGGCTGTTCAAAACAACAAAAC